ACAAATAATACCATGAAAAAGTGTACTAAAAACAAACAGAATCACACCATGACCTCAAAGCCAACACAAAAACCTCTCTTTCTCCATATTTTGTGTTAGTGGTATGCTCATTTGTGAATTGGAATTGCAGGTAAAGTAACGTTAACTGGCTGAGTAATCCTTTTTTAAAAATACTGCTTTAATGTAAGTGAAAAACAAAGAATCACATTTCACATAACAGAACAAGCCTTCTTCCCTTTCCTACCCTTCCTCCTCCTCTCATACATCCACAAACCCATTTTTTCTCTTTTTTGTGCTCCTGAGACACGTTAGTACTTAAAACTTCAAGTTACCACTGGCGAGCGTCCTCAGGAGGAAGGACAGCAGCCCACACGCTCTCTGCTCTGCACTGCTGCAATCATCTGATATGCCGAAATCAACAGCAGCTGCTATTTTTAATTTGTACAGCAAAGTGAATGTCAGGATCTCAGTGAGAATGCAACCGGACACCCACCCAGCTTTTTGAGAGCTGGCGAGTAAAAAGTTAACAGCCAAGCAACTTGGATACGTCACTCCTTGAATAACTGAAGCAGCAAGCAGCCGGGAAGCCTCGGCATAAATTAAAATTTCATTCAAGTTTGTTAGATTGTACTGCTGGACAGAAAGGAAAGAGGAACTATTCATTTATCTGGGGCAGCCTCCCACTGTTCCTCGTGGAGCAGGAGCGGCTCCCATGTGCCCCAGTACGCAGCACTGCAACGTTCAGCCCAGCACCACTGCAAAGCAAGGGGGAGGAGTGATTAACGATTTTATGCAAATGCCAATAACCGAGTAGCAGGTTTTTTCCAGGATATTAGCTGCCAGTTCACAACAGAAAGATGTTACATTAAAAGAATCTGCATCCAAGGCATTTTTATATGTAATTATTATACATTAATTATAGTTGCTGTGGGTATTAATTATAATTATTACACCTAATTAATATGTAATTATAATTTAATATATAATTTTACTATAGATGTATACTTTTATACATAAATGTATGCATACAAAATTAGCTCCTCAAATTAGGAGAGCCGCATTTCCAGTCCTCCAGAAACATTCCCGCAGGACCCCGTCTTTGCGCAAAACTTACGCACAGATCATCGACAAGGAACGTTAACAGCATCGCGGTAGCCCAGGGGCCAGCACAGATCTAACCTTACAGCTCTAACAAACGTCGATCTTCTGAGGGCAGCGTTACCCCCGGAGGGGTGCCAGGCCCCCGGGCGCTGCCGCCCTGCAGCACGGCCAGCAGCACCCACGGCTGCACTCTGCCCGAGGGACCCGCACCAAGTCATCAGGGCTACACGGCGTTAGCCAGAACTACACAGGCGAGTCAGAAGAGGATCCGGTGTCCTGCTCGAGCCACCTTTCACGGTCCGTGTCTGGTCTCGCGAGTGAAAGTGGTTTTGTAACTTGGTTCGGCGCCTAAGTAAGTGCTTGGTAACATTTAACCTACATGGCTCTTCTATTCTGTTCTTATTTGCTGGGGATGCCCAGGCCCTAAGCCTTCTGGAAATGTCCCCTCAGCAAAAACACTGCAGCTCTCCCTTCCTGCAAATGTTTCACTGTGTGCCCTATTTTCCTAATCTTTTATAATTGGCTGCTCTGCCCAGAATCTCTCCCTAAAGTCAAGATATCCTTGTTTATAAACAAGTCTACGCAAGCCTAACCCTCCCCCACACCACAAAGCTGTTTTTCCACAAGATGCTGCGCAGCAAATTATTTTTACTCACCTACCATCAAAATACATTAGCTTTATGTTCCTTCTGTATCTTATCTTACAAATTATTTGAAATTTCTAGATTTGCATGATCCACATTTAATTAGCGTATTAATTATTTTTCCCTGCCAATAATCTGGCAAAATACTGAGCAGTTGATGACCCAGAATGGACCTGAGTCAGTAACTGCTCCCAATCTGCCACTTACTAATTAAAAAAACCCACCACAAAACAACCAAAAAACCCAAATGTAGGCTAATTATATTGTGTATCTAATGATCTAGGTTGGTTTATAGGAATGTCCTCTGACAATATATCATCGCCCTGAAAAAACACATAGCCAGATCGCTTCCTTTCATTCCTCAAATTGTCAAAGTGATAGTGTTAACATTTTGGTGATCACACACTACATCATTACTTTTCATCACATCTTCTGGAAGGCAACAAATGAAATATTGTATTATAAATTACTATTATATTCTATTATTAAATTATTAAATTCCAGGAAAATGTCTCGATGAAAAATAAGTTTCCCAATATGAAACTCCGCGTTTCCAAGCTCTTTTGTAAACTGGTCCTAGGCTTTCGCTTGCTTTCCTCTCAGCTTTCCTTTGCCTGTTGCTTACCCACATGCACCTGCTTTGCCTAGTCTGTTGTTCCTGGTGCCTGCCTATGGATTTTGGATGCCTTGCTAAGTTTAAGAGTGCCCGAGAGCACAGCAGAGGGCAATGCAGGCAGCATCCCACATGGAATTCGCCCCACCAAGTGCCCGGTCCTCATCAAAGTCCTGACCCCGAACAGCAGCGCAGCCCCATGGCTCTGCCGGGATCGTCAGCTTCTCTGCCTCTTGGAGTTGAGCAGCAAGAAGGAAAAAACAGCTCCACCAACTGCCAGGTATTTTATTGCTACTGTACAACACAGGTGACTAGATGAAGGGACTTTTTTCCTTGCTTAAAGAGCTTTTTGTTACTAACACTGCACGGACTGTGGCATGCTGTCACTTAGCTTGAAACCTGTTCTAGCTCAGCATCTAGCAGAGATGTTCCTTAAACTACATTTCACTGTCTCCCTATCACAATAATTAGCGCCACTCTGAATCCTACCAGGATGTCCGGGGCTAAGACATAACTGTCTGCTTGTGCTCCAGAGCAGTAATGAGATTTGCAGGAAATAAGGATAAAGCTTGTAGGGACTGTATGACCTTGTTCTCCATTACAAATAGATTAAGAGGTTCCAAAAATAAGTTTAAGAAGCAATACTCTTGTAGCCTTAAATTACCTCTACAAGTCATCAGAGCTGCAGAAGTTAAAAAAGAATCCTTTAAGTCTGTTGTGCATATGTCAGGTTAAATATAAATACTCCT